CAATTAGGTACATTTTTTATCAGTAGACATTTACTATAAAATAGCTCAGGGACATCAATAGATGATAATGAGAAGTATATTTTTACCCATTAAGATCCATCTGATGTTTTATGTACATTTTCTATCTAAATATATTAGTTAATAATTAACTAATATATTATAATAATTATTATTATTGATACAAATTTTACTTATAAATATTATTTAATTGTATTGATTAAGATTTTTAATCGGCTCAATAAAAAGTACCTTAGGATAGTATAACGAAAAATCAATTACTATTGTGCATTATAATAGTAAATTATTTATTTAATTTTGCTCTCATAAATAAATGTATAATAAGAAATAAAAACATTATTAAACTGTAAGATGTATTTATTGAATTAAAAACATTCTATCTCTTAAAAGAGTAAAGTACTGAGTATGAGCACCCGTGTGATATCTAAGAACAACCATTATGCGATTATTTTTAACTGGGATTATAAGAGCTCGTTCTAGAACCTCAGTGTAAGTTTTTTGATCTAATACTTGACCTTTAATGTCCTGTTGTTACATTACATACACGTAATGTTACCAGACGATGAATAGGAATTGAATTGAGTGCGAAAAATATTTATGGTAATTATCGTTGTCAGCCGCGTGTCCGCATGATATTTAGTTCAGTCCAAGGAACACGAACAATATACCGCTAAAGAGTGGCAAGAGCCCTTGGAAAGTCTATAGAATATACTCCACCAGCGTTCGCCACATAAATTTAATTGTATTTATCATATATTATTCATACATATTGTGCGTATAACTCTGTAGACATCAAAAGTACGTAATGTTTTTTCGGTCATTGGACATGTATGAAACTGCAGACTTAAAGGGTCACGCATAATAAACTAACATGTAAATAGTGAGAAAACCGCAATCAGTTTAAACATTCACTATTATTGAAAGTAAAATTATTTTTCAACGAGCTCAGAGTTCATGTTTACCACCCAATAAAGTAATCGGAAATTTAAATCGTTTCCAATTAACAATGTTACTAGACGTTGACTATTGACATCTTCGTTTTTTCGATAAAGTAAAATAAGTTGGTGATAATTTTAACAAACAATAGAATGAAATAAATTTGTTTAATTTTCAATATTGGTTCATTCGAGTGTTTTTAAATATGAGTAAAAGTATTGGACTAAATGGTATAACGAATTCTTACTTTATAAGAGAGAAAAACAAATATTTGACTTTTTATTGAAACTAATGCCACTTTTTTTATCGATTTAAAATTTGTTAATAAAAATAACTAAGAGTACACAGTTTTTATATTATAAACAAATTATTTGATAAATTAAATCATAAATTATTATATTAGGTATATTTCTATTAAAATTCATTAAAAAATATTATTTTATAGAAGCACAATAGTCAAAGTAATCAAGTACGAATAAATTTCCTTAGTTATAATAAACCTAATAATTTGCACATTTTGTAACTAAAATAGCAAATTAACTGTGAAAAATATTTCAAAAGGACTTTTTTCTGTCAAACTCAACCAGTTATTAGTGTTCAAGTAAATCGTCATAACGAATATAGGAGTAAATAAAAAAGAAGTATAAAGGAAAAAATTATCGGTAGGTAGAACGGCAATCGTCTTTGGAGGGTTGAACCCAAAGAGGCGGCAGCGGTTGAGTTGGAAATAAATGAAAAATTAGCCGATGAAAAGTTTGTCGAATCATCGAACGACGGAATAAGGTGGCTGCGAAATGATTACTTGAAGAGGGCAGTGGTGCTGACGATTCTTCAGGTCGTGGAATTAATTACATCATTAGACATGATTGTCACGTCTTAGTGTGTGCTTCGTGTTCAAAGAAAAAAAAAAGAACGGAGGTTTGGTCGGATTTTGGATTGGGCAAAGTTGAAAAAAAGAGTCATGGAGTAGAGAGTAGAAAGAGTAGTTAAGACCTAAGACGACCGGCAAAAATGTTCTACCATCACAGTTTATTTTTTCGTCTCAATAAACTTTTACCGATCAAAAGAACTTTAATTAAAAGAAATCCAAAAACTGTCGTTTACTATGTAACCATTCGGCTTAATTTAGCTCATAAATTTTCCACACGATTTCGTCTTTCGGTTTTGTAATCACATGCGGCTGTTTCGACATCTAAAAATGTCATAATACAATCACTATTGAGATATTATTAGTTAAACTATATACACTTATATATTGTAAAATTAAGCAACCACAATTATTGTTGCACGACAAATTACGTTTGTACCATTTAATCTCCGAAGAAAAAATAATAATTGTAATAGTAATAACAATAATAATAATAATAATCATTTATCACTATTATTTTAAATAATTTAATTTAATTTGTTTAATATTATTGTATACGTAGATATTAACTTAGTAGTTATGAGTCAATTTTTGCATACAATGTGCTCATCATCAATTAGGTCAGATCTTCGTTTATTTTTATAGAATTTAATAGAGTAGCGTTATAAACGATTTGAAGTGTGCACTGCTGTCGTATTTGACTTAAGTGCGTTAAAAAAACCACTTATGCTGCATGCAAATTTTTTTTATATAAATGTTAGTTTGTTTAAATTACTTGTTCCTAAATAAAGTATAGTAACGGAATAATCTTTTTTTAACTGTTTGCTGAAGATTTTATTTAAAATAAAACAGACAATATTGAATACTTTAAAAATAAAAACTATATCGTTAATTTGTAATTTATGATATTTTTTACTTCATAAAATGTCTAATGTTAGAGAATTATTTCTTTTAATTATATAAATATTTTTTCATAAGTTAAAAAAGTCATGGCGTAAATAACATGAAAAAGAATTGATGTAGAAGTTGTTTCTTTAAATACAATATTTCGGTTTATTTGTTTAGTCATTTTTCCATCCAGTATTGTATAATAACAGTATATTATTTTTGTGGTACGTAATGGATACGTAGAGTTTTTTTTATTGAAAACCAATACATATTCCATCTCTTAAATTGACTATAAAGTGCTATTATATTCTATAATAGTGTTTGTTTAAGAAATTATGTTAGTGCAATTTTTTAATGTTAGCCACTCAATATCCCCTAAGACAATACTGAGATGTGTGTTTCTGACTTTTTATGTTTTTTTATTCTACTAGATTTATCAGTTATTATGTACTTATCAGGTCTATCCTTTATTCTTTATTAGGACGCAAACTTTATTTATTTAAACGACAACATACATATTTAAATAACACATATAATGACAAACGATTTAAATAAGAAAATGAATTGACGATAATAATTTCTGACCTATTACTTCAGAAATTATTACCATTGGAAAATACATATTAAGGGCGACGTAAAGGTACGACTATTTTTATTACTATTGGACATATTTTTCGTCTCATCTCTCCTCATTCCTAGGTATAAAAATGTTGATAACATTCGAAGTACTGAACCAAAAGATATTAACGATCAGTCATTTTAAATGTTTAAGATAATCAAATATGAATATTACCTATAAAAATACTAATATTGTACCCTTATAACAGATAATTATCTGTATTAATTATTAAACAACTGTAACTTAGAGGATAGATCTAGAAAATATTAAACAAACTTATAAACCAAGAAATAAATATTAAATTCTCAATAAATTTATTATTTTAGCAGATATTGAATGGCTAATATTATAGTATCATTCTATAAATCATTGAAATAAGTATTCGAGTAGTTCCATTAAACAATGAAAGTTGAATAAACTTAATTTTTACAATTTAAACGTAAAAATAAAATACTTAAGATTAAAACATTCAATTTTCACAAAGAACTTGTGTAGGTAGTAATATTTTAGATTCTTCTAAATTCAATTTTATAAATGTAAAGACTAATTAAAATTTTAAAATCCTACTATTTTATTTTAAGTTTAGTGAAAAAATTATATTTTCTTCGTTCTTAAATGAAAATTATTATATTATAATGTAAAATTAATACTTTGACAAATTTTAAATAGTCGACATAAATCATAACACTTAATACTAAAATGTTATTTTGACTAGACAAATAGCGTACTATTACTAATTTATATTTGATGATTGAATATTTTTTATCAAAAATGTTGCCTACGTCTTCAATTTTCTATGTAAGATGGTAATGTATATTTATTATTTTAATACAATCTCAAATGAATAAAAAAACTTGGTCAAACAACTATAGCGTGAGTAAAAAATAATTTTCTATGATAATAAAAAATGTAAATTCTGCTTCAGTAAAGGTTATTAAAATACTATACACGTGCCAGTCTTTAGACAATTTGTATTAATTGATAAAGATTTGTTTATTCTAAAAAAATAATGATACATATATAAGCTTCTGTCGTTTTTTCTGCATTATTAATTAACTTTTCCTTATCTATAATGTTTTGTTTCCGATATACAATTCAAATAAATCCTTGTTTTAATGTGTACCTACTTAAGTAGTTAAGTGCTGATGAACAAATTTATTATGATTATATTGTTAAAAAAAATTACTAACATATGTTCAAATTTTAAAAGAAATTAAGTGGCTAGCGTTAAAAGAATCACACTGAATATTTTGAATTTTAAACGATTATTGGTCTACGTTTAAGTTTCTCTGAATAATTATCCTTCATTCTTATAATGAAACATCTATCAGGATACATTAAAATAATTGAAATTAATGTGTCAAGACCTATTAGCTATAATAATTATTGATATTTGTACTTCAGTTCTTGTTTTTAAGCAAATTATTAATATTTCCTATTGAGACTAATTGTAGTTGTACATATCATTGTATAAGTGCGCACGGCTGAAGCAACTGACGTTATGACACGAGGCGGTCTGTCTTTCTGTAGGAGGGCGGTGAGAGTGCGCATTACACATAAAGAAACGCCATTGGTCCAACTCGTCCCTTTCTTGTCATAAACATTCCTGGAACCCTAAAATTTGAGCAAGTCCTCGTGATCTGAATGTACAAGTTCAACTGACAGCGAACCGTCTAGTTGTTATTTTCAACGTTTTTCTACCTTAAATATCTCGGCTTGTGTCTAATTTTTTTACCTTGAATAAGGTATAATTAAATAGTATATAGTAATTAGTTAAAAATTAGAACGAATGACAGAAGACAAAAATTTAACTCCGTTTTCTATAGCGGATATATTGAAGAGAGATCATGACCACAGTGCCGAATCAGTTGAAAACACCACTGGAGCCCTAGATATGACCAATAAAAAAGGTTTTATAAAAAAAGGTACGCTACAATAAAAATAATGAAAATTATCAAATTTTATTTAATTTTATTTACAGTTAAATTATCTAGAATCTAGAATTAAATTAAAATAACGATTTTGAACCTAACAAAAACATATATTTTTAATAAAACCAGCTATGTGTAATTATTAATCTACTATCTAACTAATAAGCTACCAATAGTAAAATTTTTTAAATATTTGTCTTGATTTCTGATCAACAAAACTAACTTGTCTATACTGATAAATTGTACAAAGTACGCAATTACTTTTTTTTTTCTTTTTTGCTTGTTACTTCTCAAAAATGTAATATACTAGAAAAATATATATAAATAAAAATTTTCAATAAACCGAAACTTGTCAATTAATAAATTATAGAGGCAACTGAATAAGTCGGAGCGGACTGAATGATATGATATCAAATAGATGAAAACCAGTATTGAAGTCTAGAATAGCTTAGAAATATATTTACAATAGGGGGTTCTAATATTGTAATCGTTTTAAATTCTACATTGAACAATAGTCATCAATTGCCTCTAAATAGTGGAAAAAAAAATTTTACTTTATCAGATTTTTTTTAACATTCTTTATCTTTCTAATTATACATTAAATTTATACCTAAACAGTGTAATTTAGAAAACGACGACCATTTTATCGTTAACTAATGATTCTTTCATAAAAATATATAGATTGAAATTTGATTTTTATGAAACATGGTAAATATTAAGTTTATTATAATAAAAATTATCTATAAAGGTAGATTTTAGGGGTCATCTTCGAAAGTTAAATGGAAATTTGTTATTATTATTTTTTTTGCTATTAAATGGTGAATGGTCTAAATAAAATGTTGACTTGTTGGTTACCAATGTTGTTGCATTACTTTTGAGATATTATCATTCAATTTATTATTATTCTAAGAGTGATTAAGTCCATCTTATTTAAAACTATATCTGTAGTAAAAAGATAGTATCAAATGCAAAATATTGTTATTATTTAACAGTATGACCGCCAGGTAAACAAAATTTAAACATTAAAATTAAATTTTTAGTAATTTTATAAAAGATATCAAATTAAAAAATTATAAATTATACTTAAGGTAGTATATTTATTATAGATATTAAATAGATTTTTTTTCCAAAGTATCATTTTTGATTAAATTTTTTTTTTATTATTTAGTTAAAATAAATGTCTTAAATACATAAATACTAAATACAGTTATTAAAACAAAAGATATCTTTATTTCCACGTAAAAATAATCATTTTATTTTTAATACTCTGCTTACCCATATACGTTACAGTAGGATTTTCAGGGAATTACGGGACATCAGTACAAGCCATAAAAAAAATTAATACCCCAAAGAGTTTACATAAACATTTCGAAAATAAATTAAGTTATGGAGGATAATGTTGGATTGAGTTGGATGGATCTAAAAATTATTTAACCACCTATAAATCGAAAAATAAACACTACTTGAATAATAAAAAAAAAAAAAATTCCTCTAAATTATTTTTATTTTAGCAGGAATCTTGAAATGAGAAATCAATCAGCCTTTTTAAAATATATTGTCACCTTCATAAAAAAAGCGCGTAACGTTTATAAAAAAAATATAATTTTTGTATAGCTAAAAGGAAATGACATTTTCCATGGAGACGACGATATTATGTTTAAGCATTTTTGTCAAATTCATTTCAATTATTTTTCTCACCATGTCCACAATTGATATTATCAAACATTGCTGTAATAAAGATTACTATGTTAATAAATATCTGTAATTATGGTACGACGATTATAATTATATTATCTATATTATTATTAATTAGTAGATTATTTACATTAAAAGTTACAGCTTTGTTAAAAAAGTAAAATATTCGTAGGTTAAATCACTAATCGTCTATACAGATATCCATTATACTTTAAAATTTTTAAGTTAGTTTTAAAGAATAAATAGTTTTTTTTTAGTTTAATAAAAGTTAAACAGATCAACCACTTTTTATAAAAATTACTTAACCGGTCACAAAAAGATTTGAATCAGCACTTTTATAATACAAATTTTGAATCAGAGTTTTATAATTATACAGTTGGGAAGACTATTTAATTTGCTTAAGAGTAGATTCACTTAATACGTAAGAGTTCATTATGAATCGTTCATTATAATTGGAGTCGCATAAAGAAGGGTTAACCATTTTGATAAATTCTTTAGTAAAAGTTTTATGGCGCTGTAAACTATATTTTACCATAGCTTACAATTGACCTGGATTACATTTTAGTTAACAATCTATTGTTTTTCGTTTTTTAATCACAGATCATCGTATTTTGAAAGCCAACGTTTTAGATAAATTAGTTAGAACTATAGAAAATCAAATATTTCTGTTAAATGAAAAATTGAGTAATAAAATTTATTAAGATTTAAAGATACTGTTTATAAACGAGATATTAAAAAAAATGATTTTATTAAACAGCTTTTTCTAATTTTTTACAAATGAAATTTTTATTAAATACTGTTAACGAGAATTGTCATTGAGATCGTATTTTTAAAAAGTAATAACAATGAAACTTTAATATTTTTATTAGATTTTGATACCACGGCCGCCAAATAAAAGTAGATTTTCATGAAATGTTAATTTTAACTTAACCCTTCACTTATTTAAAAAGTTATACTAAATAAATATGTAATACATAACTTGTAACCAAAGGCGTCAATGTAAACAATACGACCGTAAACCTAGGGGTTTTTTAACTTACCATAATATTGAAATTTTTTTTTTACACTTCTACTGAATTGGAAAGGGGCCTTTTTTTGTGTTACAAAATTTGTAAACGTACTCTACTTGTAACGGTCCATTGATCTACACAATCAAAGTCATATAGGCACCACGCAATGTTGTCAAAAATATAAAACAATGAGCACATTAAAATAAAAAAAGTGGTTAATGGATCTTACGAAAACCCATCGTGGGAACGTCGTTTAAGTGTTATTAATCAGTTAATCACCACTTGTTGTAATTTAGATGCACTACCGCCGCATGGGATTCAGTGGTCTGCACACTTAAAATAAAAACGATCATGTACAATGGCCGTCCGTGTCCACAGGAGCGGCGACCGGATGAACACGACCGCTGATCACTCTCTTACTTGTAACGGTTTCAAAAGTGATTTCAAATCTGTTCATCTCGGCAGGAGTCCGCGTGATTATTATCCACTTGAGGCTGTGCCGGCTTAGGCGTGTAATAACGATTGGACGTCAGCTCTCGGGGTGACGAGAAGTGGATAACACTGTACGCGAGACAGGCTGGCGAGGCAGGGACGATTGATAATTCCGTAGGTAAACAAACGCAGCAGGGCTCGGTCGCGCGTAAACAAACAGATCACATATGATGATGATGATGAGGCAGACGGTTTTGTTTGTAAGTCAAGTGATGCATTAACGCAGGTTTGAGAGAGCCACACGCACTTTATAATATCTTATTACCACCGTCACCCCACAATCACCATCATCATGTTGTTTTAAATCAATTAGACCGATAAATGCCTTCCGTTAACCAATTGCGCCCGCGTTGGAGTCGTCTCTCCGTAAACACGTCGGCTATCGTTGATTATTGTAATCGAATAGACTCAACACTTAGTGAATTGAAATCAATAATAAAAAAATCCATCGGAGCGTTTGACCGATTTTGTTGGAAGAACCTCTCTCTAAATATTTATCGTAAAAAAAGGCGGAAATAGAAGAAATAAAAATGTTTTGGTAACGTTTAGAACCCTATTTTTTAATGATCACTATAGAACAGTTCTACTTTACTTTATAAATAACACGAGCACTGGGTTTTATTTTGAAATCGATGCATCAAATAATGTAATTTTATCGGAATACTGAAGTGAGTTTTCTATGGTTTATATTAAAAACAGTTGGTGACATTGTTCAATAGATCCACGCAATTAAACTACTTGTTAGTTACTAAATATTAATATCCCAACAAAGGAAACAATAAATGTACGTTTTATTAATACACCACTATATAATATGCATATAATACAAATTAAATACAAATACATCTTCAATAAACTTCATATACAGTTTAGGGAATCTACTATAATCTAATTTATGTAATATTCTAAACTACTTTTACTTTTTTTATATTATCTGTTGTGGCTTATATCCTTTAGATATATAAATAGTACTTAGTCACTCCTGTGTATATTCAAAGATTCGCGAAAAATATGTTCATAGAGTATTTGTATGGGTTTTAGCTTTTTGATATTTTCTGTTTTTGTACACTTATTATTCATAATTTTTTAAGGAAATGAGTCATTTTATTCTCGTAAATAATTCAAGAAATTTAACTTTAATGTACAAAAATCAATGTTGAGGAATTTAAGTTACGATTACACTGCTCTAAAAATAACTGTTGATCAGAATGTTGAATTAAATATTATGACAAATAGAGCTATATTTTTCAATTTCTTAAAAAACTCGATAAATAATAGTTATTTATTTATTCTTCGTGTCTGTTTAAAAATCACGCAATTACTTTAAAAATATAAAACGTAATATAATTTTCTTTTCTTTTAAAACCTTTATTTATATAAATAAATTTATAAAAAAAAAAAAAATTGGTCCTAATCCCCTCTTTTTCTTATAAAATTGTGTTAAATTTAATTTGTTTAATTGGAAACATATGGAAGTTATAACACTTTTATATAAAGACTAGAGAATAAATACGGATCTAATTGTTTTTATCTCTAAGCATGTCTACAATGGTAAAAAAATGTTGATAATTTTTAAAATACTTGTTCAGAAGCTGTTATCGACGAGTTATTTTTTTAGTTTGATAATTTTTTTTTTTTAACGAATTATACATAATATTTTCAAAACAAAAGTAAGTACAATTTTAAGAGGGTAAAGGAGAGTCAAGATCAATTTTTTTCTCAAAAATTACAAAACAGGATACTATTCACTTTTGAATAGGAAAAATTATATTATGTTTTATATTTTTAATGTTAAACAATCATTTTAAAAAGAAGTTATAAGAACCGAACATTTCATTTCAATATTGTATTTATTTTGGGAGTAATTGAGTGAGTTATGATAAACAGATCTTCTTGTTTAATATATCAACTATTGAAAATATTTTCAACCGCATTGTCATTGTTTGTAGTTCACTATCAGACGAATATGATAAATTATCATTTTAAGCCGTCAATAAGAGTCATTGCATTAACTTTTTTGTTTAACAAATGCGGCAAAGGATCACAGTAAAAACGTATGCATATTAATAGATGCATTGTTATTAGATATTATAGAGTAACGATAGCCCTTCCATTAGTGGTTTCGTAAAGGCGTGTGCTATGCGCGTGTCAAGGTAAAAGCCAATGCGGCCTTAGTACAAGTGGTGCAAGTGCACGTCACCTAGTACGACACCAACAAAAAACCTTTTAACGCTATTAGCTGACACTGTAAAGATATGTTTGGTATAATAGTCTGCACGTAGTGGTACCGAGTAGTACGAGTATAAAAAACGGAGGTTTTCTAATCATAAAATTAGCAAAACGCGCACATCACAATAACGAAAAAAAAGTTCAATCTTTCGTTGGGCACATTTTCGGATTTAGTCGATAGAAACTATAAAACATAAATATAACCTATTGATTTGTTTAAATTAAACCAAGAAAATTATAATAAACATAATTTTCTATCGAAATGGTATCATGAGATTTTTTTATTAATATTTTTTATGAACAAATTAAATATCTGCTTTGTGTTTGCCAAATAAATATGTATTTATTAAATTGACAAGTTATTGTTCGATTTTTCGCGATAATAATACTCCTCAAACATGTTAATTCAAACTAGGTCGAAAACTATTGAACTCGAGTCACCCATAAAAATGCTTGGAATTTTTATTCCAACAACATTAATTAGTAAATTTGAAAGTTATTTGCGTAAAAATGACGAAGAACGTTAAATAAAAATATAAAATTCTGATCTAACCACCATTTAAATAGCAATACCATTACAAAATTTACATTTACATTATACGTTTGACATATTTGTCCAATAAAATACAATTCGTAGTTTTTAAACGCTAAATTTATGGAATAAATATGTTTTTTATACTGAGTAATACTATAATACGGTTAAGATATTTTAACAAACAAATTATTTTTGCTAGACGAAATAAAATACCAAGAAATGGAATATAGAAGACGATTGGAATTTTTAAACGGTGGAAATTTCGTTTTTAATCGCGCAGGACTAGATGATCATAGAAATGCCTTAACCCGATTTTTGAGAAATCATAACGAAAGACCTTTGCACGTACAACAGCGCAAGAAACGTTCTCGAGCGGCGTTTTCGCATTCTCAAGTAAGTAAATATAACACTTACCTTTCTTAATATGCACGAAACATGTTTCTAATAAAACATGTTCAGTGAAAATATCGTAGAAACTGAAGTTGAATGTGTTATAAAAAAAAAAATGTCTTATATGTGAAGTGCACTAGTTGATTTAATTTTTTATCAAAGGTTTTTGAATTGGAACGGCGATTTAACCAACAAAGATATCTATCGGGACCAGAGAGAGCGGACTTGGCTCATTCGCTAAAGCTTACTGAAACTCAGGTGAAGATATGGTTCCAGAACCGAAGGTACAAAACTAAACGAAAGCAGCTGCAAGTTCCCGTAGACCAAACGATGGCAGTCAATACATCGCCAAAAAGAGTGGCTGTTAAAGTTTTGGTTCAAAACGAGTCAAAATCGAATAACTCCATGAAGACGTACCAACCTGACAAAGTCGCAACAGCGGCCGTCATAGACTGCGATGCCGGAAACGATCCACACAGTTATTATCCCACTGCATTCTTTCCGGGCCTGCACGTCAGTCTGCCAACTACGCCCTACTACGGTTGTTACCAATACCGACCTGTTATAACGGCGGCGGCTGCGGCCGCATATCTCCGGGATTTCCCCGGCGGAGGTCGAGTGTCATCCACCACAACTGACGATCAAGAGTCATCGGATGACAGTCAGGGCTTCGTTAACATCATCGATGAATGTCCCACGTCTACAACAGCGTCCGAATAATTTTACTTCATCGATTCGTTTTAGTAACCATATGAGTGGTGTAAACACACGAATAGGTCTTATTATTGTTATTTCTTTTATTTTCAACTGTCATTTTGACGATAAACGCGTGTTTAGGTATTTGTCACGTTATTCATTTTTATGGTTTAAACAAAAAGTAAAACGTCGGAACGTCTTTTGTTTTTAAAACATATATTTAAAACACTTAGTCTGTTCACTATTTAAATTTCAATGCAAAACATTTTATGAAAACGTGTACTCATTTCAAAATTCCGACTGGTTCTGTGCAGTGACTGAATTTGAATTCATAGATGAATTAAATGGACGATTGCGATATCACATCAATAATAAAGGGCACAAAATACACGGACTTAAAATTAAATCGGTCTGTCAGGTTTTTGTCTATCGCGAAACGCCTCGTTAGATATTATATTTTATTGGCTAAATTAATTCGATAAAATATAATATTTCTGACATTCTGCAATTTTACATTTAAATTGAATAACAATGAGCAGTAATTTTAAGAACTGGGCATTATATAAATCTTATTTTCATTTATATACTCTTTATTTTTAAACAACGACATTCCGCAATTTCCTTATCCTCTCATTCTCAGTAACACACAAGAGAAATGTACTGTAATAATATAATTAAGAGACGATTTACAAAAGATAAATTTAACTTCTTTTTAAATTATAGCAAATGAGTATCACGTTTATGTATAGAGAGAGCGTGCATTGCATAAAGATGAATCTAATCTATTATCAAACCTCTTTAAAAAAAATTTGAACCCAAAACTTTTAGATTACACAATAAATATTAAATCATATTTCACTAATCAACCTACATTTCTAATTGTTGTTTATTTAGAAAAAGGTAATTTGAAACAAAATACGAGTGATTTTTATAGTTAGTTGAAAAATTGTTTTAATCGTCAAAAATAACCCCTTTGAAGAAACTCTAGGTACGGTGTTTTATATTAACTCTAGAACATTCAAGTTCTAAATTTCAGAAATACTTGAAATATTAATTAAAACTTGAAAAGAGTCGATCTCATAAGTATTTGTAAGTGTATATTATTGTAAGATAAACTTAAATATATCTAAAAATTTAATTTGTTTTTAGATTACTATGTAACTTCTTGCATTCTATTTTTAATAATTAACTTTAGAATATTACTAACAGATCATGTTAATTTTATACCATTTTTTAAAAGTTTTATTTAAATATTTTGTTAATACACGCGTTAATTGTTCAAAAATGTTGGATTTTAATGTTTTTTATTTACACATGTAGAAATTATATTAGCTTCGATGTTATTATATTGTAGCTGGTCACAGTGACAAGGTAACTTTGTAAATTATAATAGAAATAATTCATTTGTAAAGGAGAAATAATAAACTAGACAATATAAAATCTGTCCCTTCGTTATTTTGAAATGCGTAATATAAATGTTTTCCTTATATAATTTATTTCTAGGTAAAGTTAAGTATATTTTTTATACACTAGATTATACACTAATTACATACTTATTATAATACAATAAAATTTAAGTTACAACATAGCAAACATTGTCAAGATTCAATACTATATGCTTATTTTATATTTTATGATCTTCGATTAATTTCTGTAACAATTAAAAATATGAGTGTCATAGGCGAGTAATAAATAATAAAACTACCGAAGACTAATTACAGAGTATATATTTAGCGAGTATTATATCAGATCCACCAATTAAAAATTATGTAATTAAGGGTGTGAAGAAAAATTTTCATGCACGATTTTAACTTTGAAATATTTACATTTTTGAAGTAATATCTTTCAGAAAACATATTTTCAGTTATATTAACTCGTTGCAAATTATCAAAAATTATTACCGTCTTAATAATTTTAGTCTGAGTGAATTATTTGAATAGAAAAATACAAATCGACTTTAAATTTGTTGTATTTGTAGCTGTATAATTGTTGTGTTGGGTTATAATTTATATTTGTCTTTTCACGACACACCGTTTGACTTTTTATTTTGATAGGACGTTTTACCACGATTATTTCACTTTATAAATAGCAAATATTATATGTGAGCTAAAAATTATAAGGTTTACAAGGATGGAATTCGAAACGGTTTAAGCTTAAAAAGTAGTATCAAAAATACATAAATAAAAAGTTGAGTTTGGGGTTAAAGTCAGTAGTCGGCACGGGTTAGCATTAAAACTGGTTTTCATTTGACGATTCATATTAGACAATATAGATTCAAAGTAAGATTATGATTACGAATATTAAACATAGGTTTAACTGAGCTTAACTCGACTCACCATATGGCGAATTTGGTACCGACATACTATCGCACCCCGTTGATATTACTGCTTCTCATAGTTAATATACTAGAGAACTATCTAAAAGTGAAAACACGTGAGAAGTTTGTTTGAGAATTCTGATAATACCAGAACATATAATACTGTAACAATATCCTAGATAGCGCCACTACATAAATCTATTAAAAATTATCACTTTTTAAAAAAAATTTATATTTATAAATATTGAACAGATTATAAATAAAACTGTTACACAATAAGTTAGATTATACAGAACTATGAAACGATGAGTGAAATGCTCACATTGAAGCCCCTTAATAATGATAATGAAATTTAAAAAATATATAATACTTAAGCAAAAACAAAATACAAATATAGGTTTAATTAACGAATAATTTTTCTTATTATGATAATAGGTTGGGTTGGACAACGAGTTGGATTTCTAACAAGGCTACAAATTGAAATAATTTTGATTTTTGTCAATTTTTCTTATATCAAGTAAATTAGATCATCTATATTAAAATTTATTTAGTACGTGTTGAAAAAATTATTACAGAAACTAAAAATACTATAAAACACTATCCGAAACCATAATAGACATACAATTTGACTTCAAAAAAATTTAAAAACGAAAAAATAATTTTTGATTTTGGTTATTAAACGTTATTAAATCAAATTATAAGATTGGTTAATGTTTTTAAATCGCTTTCTACAAATATTAATCTTAGAAATTCTTGAAAAAAATTTGATCTAGGTCAACTAACTTACTTAGATATGGTAAAATTGTCGAAAAACGATATAATTTTTACTTTTTCAGTTCAATTTTCAGGAAAGGTTTAGAATTATAAGTTATAATCGGGTAAAGTACTTTGCAGTTAAATAATAGTAATATTATATTTTCAAGAATTTTATCTATCGAAGGTAAATAGAATAATAACTTATTAAATAAGCTCTCAGGTGGTTTGCAATAAAATGTTTTCTTGCATTCAGAAAATAAGAAAGGCTTAGTAAAACGTTGTAATAATAGCACCGGCACACACAAAAAAAAAAGTTGTTTGTACTTTTGACCAGACCCACCTATGGACATGTATTTTGACCCGATGAAGTTCGTTTGGCCCGGTCACACTTCAGATTTGAGTAAAATGCAAAAAACCAAAAAAGAGAAAAAATTGCGAAAAACTGCAGTCACAGCGATGAAAAAAATTTTGTGAACCCGGATTTTTATGTATTTTAATTTACTGAAATTGAACCTGAACGTTAATTAGCCCGTTGAGCCGTCAAAATTTGAAAAAAAAAAAAACGAAAAACCTAAAAAATTGCAATAAATCATGAAAAATCGAAAAAGATAAAAACAATTTTTTGGATTCCGATTGAGTATGATTTTTATGTACTTTGTTGCACTGAATTTGAATCTCTCTCTTCGTCTTGTTCATTTTTCCTATAAAATTTGCATCCTGAAATAAAGTTCGAATTTAGGATCCATTAAAAATCTCTTATGATCGCTTTTTCCTACAACCAGGGCAGTTCCACGTGGTGACGGTTGGCAACAGAACCATTTAACGGTTCAGATTCAGTAAATTGATATACATAAAAATCATACTTGATCTGGGTCCGCAAAAATTTTTTCATTGCTGTGACTGCAGTTTTTTTCCCTTTTTTGGTTTTTTTGCATTTTACTCAAATCTGGAGGGTGACCGGACTTCAAATTCAGATTCAGTGGGTCGAAGTATGTGTCCGTGGTGGATACGGTCAAAAGTACAGACAACTTTTTTTTTTTGTGTGCCGGTGTGGTATAATAGTTCTTTTAGTAAAATTTTCAACTAATTTATTAACAATAATATGTTAAAATTTAATATTTTTCATATTTCTATAATGAAGTTATAATTGATAAATTTTATTTAACATTTTTAATTTAAGATTATTACATAAGTGTAAGTTATGTGTAAAAAAAGTAAATATGCTTTAAAATTGTATTAAAAAAAAAAAGTAAGCCTCTATAACCAGTTATCAAAAAAGAGCTAATTAGTGAACATATATTATAAGACTAAAGAATATTACTGAAATTATATATGAAAACTAGGTTATTTAATATTATTTCTAATAAAAAAAATAATGATTAAATGATCACAAAAATATATGGGATTTTACTATAATTAACTGTTTTACACTCTTAAAATTTATTTTATCAAACAACAATAATTTATTCACTCTAATTTATAAATTTTAAGATAATAAGACTTACTGTTATGTTAACAGTATTCACTATGGTTTTGTAATAATTAAATATTAAAAAAGAATACCAAGTGGAAATGTATTCATCTATTTTACAATTTTTTTTTACTTTATAATTTTGTAAATACAAAAAAAAAAAAAACGATTAGTTACATTTGAAAAACATGAAAAAATAAATAAAAATACATCAGAATTTGATAAACAATGAAATATTTTTGCAGCTATTGAATTTACTTTGCCTTGCGTTTGTCATCAGAATCATTAACTCGACTAGTACGCCAGTTACCCTACAAAAAATGTTTAATTTAAACTACCATTCAACATAATAATTCAGAAATACCAATAACAACAAACCTGATCATTATTAGATGAAGGGATCTCACGTTTTCTTGGAGTGTCTCTATCAAAAGCTGATCTACCTCCCTCTCTGCTACCATCTTTGAAAGATTTATCAAATGCACCACCGCTAGAACTACCACCTCCTCGACTCCAACTACTACGTTCTCCACCATCTCTTGCACCAAAAACTCCTCCTTTTCTTTCATCATTACCCCTGTTGAATACAGGACGACGCTCTGAAGGTGGTGCATCATCTCGGTTTCTACCAAAACCATCTCCTCGTTTATCTTTATCTCTTGCACCAAAAATTTTGGAATCTTCCTTGTTTTTATCAGCAGCTCTCCACGAAGATGTTGTTGTTGTAGAAGAAGAAAGAGTTTTATCTTTTTCTTCAAGTTTTCTTTGAATTTCTTCTTCTTTTTTACGTTGTATTTCAGCTTGTCTTTCAAGTTGTTCTTTGCGGGCCCTAAATAATGAATCAAATAAAATAAATAAATAATTTTAGTATATTAGTAAAATAATAAAATAGATATAACATTATACTAACAAGTTAGCAGCTCTTTCTTCTTCTTCTTTTTTCTTACGTTCTTCTTCTTTTCTTTTACGTTCTTCTTCTTCTCTACGTTGCTTTTCTTCTTCCTCTTTACGCCGTTTTTCTTCTTCACGTTGCTTTATTAGTGCTGCTTTTCTTTCCTCTTTTCTCTTCTTTAACCGTTCTTTACGAATTACTACTAATTCTTCTTCAAATACTTCCAATTTTGTCTACAAACAAAGTTATATTAATTTTCTGTCAATAAAAGTATCATATAATATAAAATAAAACATTTTTCTTACTTGGAATTCAACAGTACGACGGGCCTTAAGTTCATTTAAGAAGATATCCATATCTGGTTTCATACGTGCTAGTCTTTCGCGATTCTGTTCGGCTAATTTACGTTCTTGAATTGCTAACTGTATACGCTCAGCCTCTTGATGCTCCCAAAACTTCTTGTCATGAACTTGCTTTTCTTTCCATGCTTGATCTAAAAGTGGAATTTCTTCAATTCGTTTAGCCCTTTCAAAATAATCCATCTGTTTCCTGCGATTCTTTAGCTTTTGAACTAATTCTGCTCGTTCTTTGGCAAGCTCTTCAGCTTCTTTGGCTGCAATTTCGTCAGCATCCATATTTTTAAGAGCCTATTAAAAAAATCATACATTAGGAATCTAACAATAGGTATAATTTTATTAATTTAGAGAATTATTCAACATTTTTGTTTAAATACATGAAACAATAGAAACTTATTTAACTAACTACTAAAAATAAGAATGTTAGGATAAGTTTAAAAAATGTTAACCAACTTAAAAAATAGTAGTTTGAGAAAAAAAGGAAATTAAGGTAAAAATCGACTGAATAGTAATTTAAACTGAATTTTCCAAATATATTTTTATAAAAAATATCGTTGGATAGTATATATAAGTAAAAAACTAATAATTGTTTACTGACATCTTCATTGAGTTTTTTTAAAACTTTTTGTCCATGGGCAGTTTGAGATATTTGCTGCATTTTTTCTTTAAAATTACGATCTTTAATAGCTTGCATTTCTGATTCTTGTCGTCTTTTCTCTCTTTCTTCACGTTCAGCTTCTAATCTTCTTAATTCAGCTAAAGCAGCAGCACGAGCAATTTCTTCAGCTCTTCGAGCTTCTTCTTCTTCCTACAAAAATAACATTCACATATTATATTATAAAATTTGTGATAATAAAAAAATTAATTTATACTATTTCAAAAGATTAAAGACAATATAAATCTGTATATTAAAAAAATAAATAAAATTAATGATTTTGATATATTAATAAAAACAAATATTAATACAAAATGACCAATATAATAGTAAAAAAAATTAGCCTTACCCTGACTGTGTTAAGTCGTTCTAAATACTCTTTACGGTCTTCAATAATTTTATGACGAGCTAATATGCGCTGGTGCTCGTTATCTTTAGATTCATGATGATATCTAATTAAGCTTTGATGGACTTTTTTATGTTCATCCTAAAACATGAAAAAATAAAAAAACTTTGTATATACAACTTTCAAAAACATATAATATTAGTAATTATGATATAACCATTGTTTAAATCACAATTTAAGGTAGGTCTACAAAATATTTAGGTAATATAAATTAATCATGATCAAAATTTGTAAATTATATAATATAATATTCAATATCATTCCATCTAACACAGATCTCATAAATGTTAAATTTATAAATACTTCAGTTATTTCATTTAATCACAAATATCATTCCGATATCCGCAAAGATTATAATCATCATTGTATAATTAAGTTAAAAACAAACATGATTAAAATAGTCATAATAAATCAGAAATAAAAATAATTTAAATCAAATAAATCATATATCCGCAAAATGAAAATATATTCACCATAATGCCAAAAAAAATTGTAAATTTATATATACTTCAGTTATTTCATTTAATCACAAATATCATTCCGATATCCGCAAAGATTATAATCATCATTGTATAATTAAGTTCAAAACAAACATGATTAAAATAGTCATAATAAATCAGAAATAAAAATAATTTAAATCAAATAAATCATATATCCGCAACAGAAAATATATTCATCATAATGCCAAAAAAAATTGTAAATTTAAATATATAATCTCATAAATGTTAAATTTATAAATACTTCAGTTATTTCATTTAATCACAAATATCATTCCGATATCCGCAAAGATTATAATCATCATTGTATAATTAAGTTCAAAACAAACATGATTAAAATAGTCATAATAAATCAGAAATAAAAATAATTTAATCAAATAAATCATATATCAACAACAGAAAATATATTCACCATAATGCCAAAAAAAATTGTAAATTTATATATACTTCAGTTATTTCATTTAATCACAAATATCATTCCGATATCCGCAAAGATTATAATCATCATTGTATAATTAAGTTCAAAACAAACATGATTAAAATAGTCATAATAAATCAGAAATAAAAATAATTTAAATCAAATAAATCATATATCCGCAACAGAAAATATATTCATCATAATGCCAAAAAAAATTGTAAATTTAAATATATAATCTCATAAATGTTAAATTTATAAATACTTCAGTTATTTTATTTTATCACAAATATCATTCCGATATCCGCAAAGATTATAATCATCATTGTATATTGATAATTAAATAAACGTTTTTGTGCTATCTAAGTATATCTTACCATATTAGCTTCTGGGTTTATGATATTAGCAGATTTTGACAAAACTTTATAAACATTAATGAGATATGTGCGTATTTGTTCACTAGGCATTGTTTGTAAAGTTGGTCCTTCTGGTTTATCTTCTCGCTGTGACTCAGACAAGTCCATTCCAAACTGAATACATCCTTTTCCATGATCAATTCTGATCTAAAAAAGTGGAGCACATATAAAATAAATTATGTTTATATGTACATTGATTTTGATTCTATTCATTTGAGACAATTTTAAACATTTGGAGATTAAGTCATTTGTATCTATATGCATTAACACATATTTTATTCAATAATATATAATATATATTATAATCTTCAGTAATAAGGAAACAGGTATCTTTTGTTTTTATTGTTTGTAACAATTGACTTATTTCCTTACCTAACCTGTATATTAAACATGTTTCCTATGATTAAATTTATTAGATTAATTATAAATGCGTTTTAAACAGATTTTACCTGCAATTGATCTGGGGTACTCTTAAAATAGATAAAAAAATGTAAATAAAATACACAGTAACAATGTACTGATTTAATAATTATATATTTACCTGCATGTCATTATGTCTAACTAGATCAACCAAAATACGTTCCATATGAAATGGTTTACAATATGATGCTAATTCCAACAATCTTTTGTATTCAATTGTTTCATAAATTTGAGAAAGTTGTCTGATAAGCCGTGCTAGAGTAACTTCACGCACGGGTACAACATAACCTTCTAATTCACTACCACTACCAATGAGTGATTCTGTTACAGATTCAACACGTTTGCATAACTCTAAAGGTTGGAAATCAACTTCAAGCCAGAAATATAAATTTCTTAAATCTTCAGAAGCTAATTGAATAACATTATGACGAACCTAAATAATTATATAAAATAATTTATAAATTAAAACATTGTAGAACAAAATTACATACAAAATAAGATAACATACAACTTCTTTCAAAAGAGAAATTCTGGTAGGTGGTGCAGGTAAACTCAATAATACTGCTAATTTCTGAGCTTTCTCATAGGGACTTTTATCAGTTTCAATAAAACGATCAAATTCTGGATGTGCTGATGGTAATGGTACAGCTAGAGTAGCCAACAATACACGCGAAGCCATTCTATAATAAAATTATTTTCTTAATGTAAATAATGAACAATCTGAATATATATCAACTTTATTACCTTTGAAGTTCTTCAGCAGTTATATTTTTTTTCATTTCCTTACTAAGCTGGAATAATTTAAGTAGAGCAGCAGCATGGAATAAATTGTAACCTGCCTTCCAAAAGACCATTGCTAATTTTTGATAATAATTAGCCATAGTTTTAGGTACAGGTGACTTCTTAGCTAAAGTCATTAAATTATGAATATCTTCAGTTGCTTTGTAAGCTTCCTAGTTATAAATTATACTTTTTAGAATAATATGCATAAGAAATGCTTTAAGTACATTTTAAATAAAAATAATTTTTACCTGCCATAATTCCATTTGAATTGCATAGTCTAATTGATATAATCTAGTTTCTAAATTATATTGTTGTGTTTCTGGATTTGAAAGACTAACATTAACAGTTTGTGCTGGAAGTTTAGCAATATCCTCTAGATGTTTACGTAATTTATCACACAATTTTCTAAATTCAGTTTTACGATTGTATTTTAGACAAAATTGATATGCCTAAAAGAATAGTGAAAATTTAAGTTGATTAGTTTCAGGTTTTTATTTTATTGTCAAACAAATGCATACCATTTTAGCAATATCATGATATAATGTCTCTACATGAGCATTAGTTCTCAATAACTCCAAACATTGGCAATATGATTCCCATAAAAATTTAACCCAAGGTGTCAAAATTGTTCTATCACTACGATCTTGAGCATCTTCTCCACTCACAGCACTATTATAAAGATATTTTATTTAAAGATAAAATATTAAACTTTAACTAATCATTAATAATAACATTACCTCAACAGTATACTTTCTGGAGTAGCCAAATTATCTAAATCATCTATATCAACAACAGCTTGTTGCGATTGTTCTCTAGCTGCTTCAGTACGTTCTTCAGCACTTCTTAAATATCCTCGAATAACATTTTCAAGTGATCCAACATTAACCTGCAGTAATGTTTTAATTAAAATAAATCAAACAGTAAATATTAAAATTAAATCTTACAGATTGAAACATATTTCTATATTGAAATAACCCCTCTTTGGCAATATGTGACTTCTTGAGGTCAACGCAAAGGTCCAAATACTTGAACATGATAGGTTCGAGAACACTTTCGCTCCAGTTGTAAGCCCATTTTTTATTTCTAAATACTTCATATAGGGTGTCAAGTGCTCGACCTGGACGACCAACTTCCAAAAATTCTACAAACAAATAATAATGTTAATATGCACACTCACGATTTGCCGGGTATCACTAAAAAATCATATAAGTACTTACCATTAGCACGTTTCAAAGCATTTTCTGGTCTTTGACTGTATCGAGACATGTTGACAAATTATTACAGTAATATTTAACTCAAAAATGTGTTAAATTTTTTCACGCCTAAGAAATCGGCGATGAATTGAGAAAAAACGTGGCGTGACCGCCTGACGCTCGTTGTACATAACAAGTAGAAAATCGCATTCAGTGGTTACCAAGCCGGTTCATACAAATCCACTATATTTCTAATACAGTGACGCCAATTAGTTTAAAACTTTAACGAATAAAAATATTTAGTCGTTGGTAAGGCTGTTTTTTTATCATATATAAAAAAATTGAGATTAAAGATGAAAACAACAACAATATCAGCAATCATCTTTTTAATTATTTTTAAAACATTTATAACACAAGAATTTTTATAATAGTACTCTTTGATATAAAACAATTTTATTTAATCTTTGCAATGGCATAACTAGGCATACGACTTTTTTGTTGGCTTATCATATATTCTTACTAGTGCCGATTCATATATTGTAAATAGTAATAATTTACCAATTGAGGAGACTATAGTTTTATTAGCCCGCTTGGCTACGTCACTCGCTTTCTGAAAGATATAAAATAATAATTTTAGAGGAGTGCTCTCCTGTATCCACCCAGATCACTATAGCCATGATTGTATGTTATAACATACTATAAATTAAATGCATATTGTATATACATAGTACATATCACATACATAATATTTATAATTATTATAAATTTTATAAAAAGATAATCTTATAAGAGTTATAATAAAATTATACAAAGTAAATTATACTCTTTGTTTCTTAAGTGACAAAACATATTTATTATTCATGTTTAAACCAATCAACAACAAAATGATACGAGTCCTAATTTTTCAAATAATTACACAATCTTAACGTTTGTTAGACTTGAAAAAATTCTAAACTGTTTTAATTTTACAAGTTTTTTAAATATAAACGTTCTTAATGTAAGTGTTGTCAAAAGTGATTTAAAAATGTATGATGAAATATATATTCCATCGTATATGTTTTATATCAAAACAAATAAATTATAACCAGTACATGGAACCCTACTGACGGCCAGTGGTGCAACTTAATCGTAAAAGACCACATAGAGAGCATCTCAAGAATGGTCCTTTCAACATAGAAATCTCTTAAGACACTTTAATGACCTTTTTTTTTAATACAAATTTTTTTAATTTTATATAATTTTTAACAATAAAATTCTTTGCCAAATTTTTGCTATTTTCGCCATTGTGAACGACTTTAAAGAATAACTTACTCATAAAATTTCTATTGATTTTTTATAATGAGGTTATTTCTTAAGTTTCTCGTATTTTAGTCTATCTTTTAGAATATATCTTATATATCTTTTTTTGTAAAATACTAATCTAAAATACTCAAACTTATAATGTATACTTTAATACGTATGATGTTTATTCATATCTACAGATTATTCATACTTCTAAGTATAAAACAATTTTAGTTATTTTAATAATAATTATAATTCTTATACTATAAGTCAAGGATTAATACGCAATAAATTTTCAATATTGAAACAATAATACATCATAACACGTTTTCTAAAGAAAGTCGATATTACAATGAACAAAAATTATTATGCACCCGCTGTATACACACTTTGCCTCTACTTTTTCTCAAGGTTCGATACAATTTGGATATTTATCCCTAAACATTCAAAACACATAAATATGTACTAAACATTGATTACGTTCTCCATTTTTTTGTTTTCTTTTTCCAGAGATTTTTGTGCTGACAAATATAAACTGTGATTACTCTTTTCATTGTTGCTCTTAAGTTTTTCTTGCATTTGAGCGAGTACATCATGCATTCGGCGTAACTATTATGAAATAAAAACATTTTATATTAGTTGTATCATATATTATTATAAATTTAATTTGATACCATACGAGTAGTACTATATTTTAATGGAAAATATGGATTATATTTATCTTACATCATTTCATGTTGATTGTATGATTGATTTAGTTTTAATACTATTAAATTTATTATTATCATAATACGTGTTTTATAGAACTAACAAAGTTTTTGTTAGAATTATATTAATTAAAAAATTACAAGTTGATGATACAGGAAATCATGTAGACATTGTATAAACAAAAAATTGTTGCATCACATATTTTTTCAAATAAATAATCCTTCATCTTATATTTAATACAGTATACATTAAATAGTAAACCGTTACAACACTAATCATAGTTTATATTTATTTTCCAGGAAAAATAAAAATTTAAGTAATGATATCATATGTTATGGCTTTATAACAAAATAAGCTGCCAATGTAGTATGACTGAACAAAACTTTGTTTACATTAAATATTGTTTTATATTTCATTTATTATTTGTTTTATAGTGTTTTAGAATTTAAATTCTCAAAATAATTTTTATTATTTTATTAATATTATTATTAAAAATTATATCTGTTAGTTCAGATTAACAAGCAAGTGTTTACTTGCAATTCAAAGACAAATAAATACGTATATTAACAATAAAATGGCCATTATAATTTCTTATAATTGAAATAATTAAGTATATATATTAAATATAATTTAAAGAAATAAGAAAAAAATTGTTAAAATGTAAAATATGTATATACCCATTACTGATTTTGCTAGTTTTAGTATAACTATAAATTGTACTTACTTCCTCATCTTTTTGAAATAGTAAAATGTCAGTCTCGTCAAGCGCTACTGGTAATTTTGGCACGGAATCTCTTTTTATTTTTCTATACATAAATCAAATATTGATTATTTTAATTAAAATTTGTTTCCTTTCAATATTTACCCTCTATCTTTAAACGCCTGTTGTGAAATTTTCGAGATCAATTGTGTACGGTAATTTTCATAATGAACGTCCTCAGTTACTTCTTTTAAATCGTGCATGTGTGTAGATATCAACATATTACGCAGTTTTCCAAAATCGCTATGATTTGGATTATCCACTATCATAATTCAACTTTTTTATTTTAAAGTTTTTATTGACTTATATAAAAATATGTATGTACCAGGGATGGATCTAGAATTTTTTTTAAAGGCAGTCGCGTATAATATAGTTGATCAATTTTATCTTTTATTAGATCTATTTTTCATTTTTTTTTTTTTTTTTTTTTTTTTTTTTNATTAGATCTATTTTTCATTTTTTTTTTTTTTTTTTTTTTTTTTTAGTAGTTGACGATACTTCAAGGTGGGGATGTTCATTTCTGCTCCCTCCCCTGGATCCACCACTGATATACACAAAATGTTGAGAGTTTTATTGTACAATTTACCTTCCACTAATCCCCAATCATATTGTCTACCTCTCATTTTTTTACCGTTTACCTCTAATATCGTATTGCTACCAACTACGGCAAAAGGCAAACATGCTTTAAGTTCTTTATCTTGTTGTTTGAAATCTTCGTCTTCGTCACTTTCACAGTCTGGTAATTGATAAACCTATTAATATAATATACAATTTATATAGAACGCATTAGATTTCTAGTAAAATAAAATTTATTAATGCATGGACGTAAAATAAAAAGTTAACTGTTTATTTTTTTTAATTTTACTTTTATTCCATTTTCTTTGATTGAATCGTTTATTTTTTGCTTGACTCGAGCCTTTTCTTTCTCTGTTAACATGTCTGCTTTGCCTATGACCGGTATAACATTGACTTTTTCATGAATACTTAACATGAACTCTATGTCTAATGGTCTGAGACTATTGTTTAAAAGATCAACACAAAATAATGTTAAATTTGAATACTAGGAAATAAAATGTAAAAAATAATACGATACACACCTATGGCAATGAGGTGGAATAAAATATAGACAACAGTGAACGCGATTGTCGACTATGTTCTTTCTGACGACTCCACTTTCTTCGGAGAAATAAGCTCGGAATTGTTCATCAATATACTCGCAACATGTTGTAATGCATTCGTCGCTAGTTAAAGAAGAACCGAAACCTGCAATGAGTCAAATTTAATTTCAGTTTTTTCAAGTATTTTAGTTAACTTAGGCTATGTTCTTACCGGGCGTATCGACAACAGTTAATCTTAATTTCACACCTTGTTCTTCAATGCATAACGTTTGTTTTTCAACTTTTGCAGTCTGGGGAGGAACTAAAAAATAATGAGATATTTAGGTTAGGAAGAGAGTGTAACTAAATCAATAAAAAAGTATTACATAAACGACATGAAAAACAATTTACTTGAACACTTAATGAAACAAACAGTTATTTTCTATAAAGAGATCTTACAATTTATTCTTCAAGTACATACCATAATCAGACGTTTTTCGATCTTTGTAAAGGTCACTAAGGAATAAAGTGTTAATTAGAGTAGATTTTCCCAGGCCAGACTCGCCTACTACCATTAATGTGAATTCGAATCCTTTTTTAACTGTCTTCCTATGTACTATATCTGGCAAACTAGCAAATCCGACGTACTCTATAATATGAGCAAATTTATTGATTATATCAGAAAACGTTTTATTTTTGTTTAAAACATTTTATTATATTTCTAAGATAATATTTGTTAATTCATTATTTTGTTAATCAATACAAAAATCGAAAGAAATATTTTATTGGGATATACTTTTTTAAAAATTTAACACATTTGCTTTAAATACAAGATATTCATTTATTAAATAAATATTTTTACTTAATGCAGCCGATTGACGAATTCCAGACTATGTGGGAGTAACCATAAACAATAAATTGTATAGCTAAAAAAGGCGAGGCTATATGGTTTATCAGATATTAGGTCGTTAAAATGAAATTATAAGTAATACAAATAGATTTGTATAGATTACAATGAAAAATTTAAGGGATAAAACTTTTATTGTGTAATTTTTTAATTAATTATTAATTTATATGAATTTTATTCACTCAATAAAAATAACTGGGTGTCATAATATAAATATTATCATAATTCTAGTAAGTAGTAACATTTGTTGTTTACATTGGGTGTATAAATAAAACTCGTAGATAAAGTAGCCATATGAGCTTGATATGCTAATTGAACTATGTTATCGAGAAACATTAATTATCCATCAAATGACACAATAAAATTGCTATCATTGCAAAAGGGAAAAAATCGAAATTGTTAATAGCTGTTAAATATTAAAGGATTTTATTACTTACCAGTCATTTTTTATTATAGTAGCAGAATAATAAGTCTATATTAACCCCATCATGTATACTTTACTAAAAAGATTAAATGGAATATTGATTGACGATCATAAAGTCTCATCAACACCTAAAATTTATTAAACGCTAAATTTACTACAAAAATTGTTTAATTAATTAGTAAATTGTGAAAAATAAGCAAGTAATTATAAAACCATTAAATTTCATAATTATTCATTTAATACCAAGTAATAAATATTATATAATATTAAGTTATAATAGATTTGTAATTACCAAGTCTTGATTTTAATACTTCAGTACTCCCATGTGAACTAAATTTGTAATACAGCCTGTGTTGGTTAAGAATTGTTATTTCGATCAAAGGTTTTTGGTCACTTGGAGCTAAAGTGTATAATAAAGCCTTAACAGATATGTATAGTTGCAGTTCTTAGCGCGCACATATGCACCCAGCGTTAAGTTATTATTAATGTTAGTTTAATAATAATAATAAAATTGTTCAATAAATTTTGACGTTTATTACTTGAGTTAATATTATTGTTTGCATACGAAGTAGAAAACGAAGCAATTCACGAACAGCACAAACGTCTGCAGCGTTGTCACTAAACGGCAATCGATAATTTGGCGCGCCGGTCCTGAATACCAAACTGCACGAACATGAGAAAAGAGGGGAGACTACTACTATTACTACTACGCCCGCCTCTGAATGAAAAGGGTGGCCATACATTACATTTGTTGTTATAGTTCAGCAGTAGTAGGATTTGTACATAGATAATTTCTCATAGAATAGTAAGGGTGAGGAAGGACTTTTGCTATAGTGTGTGAATAATATTACAAATGACGTCATATCGAAAAAAATAAATAAAAAAACGATTAACCTTAATTTATTGCACACGTTTTCAAACACCGTATTGAATTATTTCAAATTAATTATTGAATATTGAATATAGAAAATATTTTTATTTAAATTAAAAACAAATAAATAACAAAAATTCGCATAAAAAGTGAAATCGGGTATTTTCATTACTCAACCCGCCTAGATTAAGTCCATAGTGTCTTTTAAAGACTACAAATGGTATATTCCTTGTAAATAATCCTATTTGATTAATTTATCTTGTTTTTATTTTATTGTAGTTTTATTTTATTATTTTCTCAGTGTTTCTCTTTGAATTTTCTAGTCTTCATTAGGCAACTTTTGGTCAAATTATTTTACAACAATATTTGTTTACAAATAAAACAAATGTACTGCGTTTTTTTACAATATTACTTATTCAGGCTCAAATTAGGGGCAACAGTGTCGGATTTACGTGGAGGGTACAGGAAGTCTGGACCCCCAGATAGCGATATATTTATGTTATTTAATATGTAGGGTAAGACTCTGATACGTATTCCAAGTAAATTTTATTTTTAGAACCCCCAGAAAATTGTTGAAAATCGGCCACTGAAGAGGGCTAAGAGGCCTCATGGTTCCTGGATAATAGTGGCCTACATAGAAAAATAACCTCTTCTTGAATTGCGCCTACTTCGTAAAATAACTTTAGAAAATTACTTTGATGATATATTTTTATACCCATGCGTTATATTTTGTATTTATGTTTTACCTACCAGGCTAATGAACTGCATTTACGAGTTGGCTATTATTAGGCCTATCTGCAACGAATCAGTTATTTGTTATGTTTATAACATAGCGCTAGAAACATAGCGTAGGCAGTTTGTTATACAATATCTTAATACAACACTTTAAACGTGCGTCAATAATTGCCATATAATGTAAATAGAATTAATTGCATTTTTCAAGTAGACGCTCATTAATTAATCTCGATACATCAATTTCCAACAAATAAACAATTTTGAATAATTCACTTAATTAAAAGTTATGTTTTACTATATATACACTACCTTGGCGATTATCATTTACCCAAATGCTAACAAAGTATTTTGTTTTAAACCACACTAAATTACAAACTAAAATTATAGCTTATAAACTCTATATCTTTAAAATCATATTTATAGCATATTATAATGATGTGAAGTAGTTTTAAGATTGAAGACGTCAGTTATTATTGTAATCATATCAGCAAAGTCTGACTAACTGTTACCATTGAGTGATTTTTCTTACTAATTAAATAGTTTTGTGTAGTATTTAATTAAATTTACTAACATAAAACTACCATAATCTACAAAAGTAACATAAACTATAGTAAGTAGATAGCAAAATTTAAATTTTAAAAATCAATCTAATAAGAACAAGAATGTATAAGAATCCTACAAAATCACAAATGATCCAAAATTAACGTTTATCAATTTGATATTTTTGGTATACACGTTAATTGTAAATACCGATAGTGTATTTATGATATTAAGTATCAAAAATTTCGTACACAAATATAACATATATATCACTATTTATCCAAATTTTCCTTTACTTTCTATGGGTTAAACAAATCCAATATATGTATGTAAAAATTCGGATATTTTTTTTAAAGTGTGTAGTTCAAAAAACACTATTATTTTAAGACAGATCGCCTATAGACACGAATAGGTTGTTCGCAAAATCCACCATTAATAAAACTTAGTCGGATTAAAACAACTTTTTTAATATTCTAGGTAATTTAAAATCATTAATTTAATTATCTTAAAACATTAAAATGGTTTAAACATTGCGCTAAAAATAAAAATTCCAATCAAAATTTCGGCCATTACATAATTAATCTGAATCGTATCGGGGTTTCAGATAAACTTATCGTTTTATAATTTCTTATGTCCTTTTAAGCTTATAACCACTGTAAAAAATAAAATTGTTAGTAATTTTATTATTCTTTTAATGTTGGTTTCCAAAATATTTCAAAGAATTATTTTAACTAGTTAAACATAGTGACAAAATGTAAAGATTACTATATGACAATAGGGAACTATTTTACAGACTTTTTTTTTTATCATTTAAATAAAATAATAAATACACACTTAATAATGTTTTATTTGACATATTGTATAATTATCAATTCTAATTAGTATTCATTGTTAATGTAAAAATACATAAAAAATATATAATTAATGCATTTATGTAATAATATCTTAGAAATATAGAATAATTTTGTTACTATGGACCACTCAATTACTCGTAACTCTCCATGTTTAATTTTTTTTCACAATCAGCAGCATATCATAAAAAAATTCGAGTTAAAAAATTTTGATTAATTGGCGTAGTAATAATGTTAACATTTATAACTCCTACTTTCATATATTTGCAATTTTTAAGTTGATTTTAGAAATTTTAATTTTCGTTAACAAAAAAAAAAAAAAAAATACTTAAAATTCTTTTTTAATTCTAAAACGTATTCAAATATATATATATTTTTGTAACTTAGTAAAATAATTTGTTATAACAACTAAAAGCAAAACTTAAAATATGTTTAATAATAGATGTAAAATATTTTTTATAATTCGATTTTATACATAAAGTTATTCAATTAATAAATTATACATTTGTGAATAAAATTAAAGTTAAAATTAATATGAATTTTATTTTGTAAGTAATTGAGAGATCATAACAAAATCACTTAGTATACGAAGACTTTCAATAATTGGCAAATTAATCAATAAGTAGTATATTTAATTTAAGAATTCTTTCTTATTTATAACCTAGGTTATAACAACAAAAAAATCTAACACAGATTGTAGTTCTACCACTGTGGATGATTTATGTTAAAATAAATTAATCATAATCTTTACATAATAAATTAATAATGGACAAATTATTTATTATTTTTATATTATTTGTAGAAAACACTTACGATGGATATACATTAAATTGGACAAGTCGTTTGATGAACATTTTAAGTTCAAATATAAAAAATAATATATTTTCCGTTTTTTTATAAGATAATTTTATTCTTCCCAAAAATATCCACAGTTGCATCTATGAATGCAACCACAACATTTTGCCCTTAAAAATTTCTTATACTTTTTTAATGTCCATAAACCAACTAAAAATATTACTGTAAAATAAAAGTATGTTTTAATCAAACCATGCAAAATTTTTTTTGAGTATATTACCCAATAAAACAATAGGACAAATAATTGGCATAGTAGATGAACTTATCTGGCTAAACTGTTGAATAAAAACATGAGCACTTGTATTTTTGTTTATTTTATTTTTCATTGAAAATTTATGAGTTAATTCATTACAGTTCGTTGAAAATCTTTATTTTATGAAATTATAATAAAAAATTAAATATAATATAACATAAATTATTATAAAAATATTTGCGAAAGAGTATTTAATATGCGTTAATACGAATCAAAGAAAATTTTTAATACTTTTAAAAATATATATTTTAAATAATAGTTTAATAATTGATTTATATTTAATTATATTACATCAATTACTTTAAAATTTCCCAACTTAATTAATTATTTTTAAATTTAAAAAAAATTGTTCATTACAATATTTTTTTTCATTTGAAATAAGTTGTGTTTTAATTAAATATTGTGAGTTTCATAATGCAATGATTTAACATTTTTTGTATACTGTAAATTAAAATATTAAAAGAACTTCTCATATTATTATATTTGTATTAAACATTATAATCACTATATCTTGTATATTTATATAACGTAAAATTTATAGTTGTTCTAACACCATTAAACTGACGACCAATCGACCATTGTGGTGTGAAAAATTCCACTGTGTCCAATAATAATTAGTAGAGCTTAATGTTTTTAATAAGCAATGTGTATTAGTAAATTAAAATAATTATATTTTTTAATTAAATCCATAAAACATTAAAGCCCATTTAATCAAATATTTTTGGGACCCTTATTCATGTTCTTCCTTTTGCAGAAAACGTTATATTAGTATTATAAAAATACTTATAATTTATTATATTTTTTGAGGTGCTAAAATAATAGTTTTTACTCTAAATCCCATTTTCATCTCTTTAGATCGTGCCATTAATCCAAAAGAAAAAAATTTGCCAACTATTTTTAAAAAGTATTTTTTTCGTTATTAAAAAATATATAAGTATAAAAGTTCAATAGAAAATAAAGTAAATATTGAACATAAATTTAATATAATAAGACCATATCATAGTAAAAAAAAAACCCAGCACAGTGGGGTCGCGGCATAGTGGGGATGTTGCATAGTTGGGTCCAGTATAGATTTAATCTGACAGTGATTAAAATCACTATCATAAGAAACGCTTCGATGCAAATCAGTAGATAGTGTTTAATTCTAAGAAATTGGTGGATAATTACAAAAGCTACATTATCTGCTAGTTTCTTATTAATACCCTGATTAAGATAAAGTATGTCGAATGAAAAAGGGATTATTAAAAAATATTATTTCTCATAAAAAAATTGTGTTGATTCGTACACTTTTCAATGAGTTATAGCATTATAAAGTTAAAAATGTAACCAACCCAACCCAACATCAACTCCTATTTCCTTAATTATATCCAGATTAGTAATTATTTTAATTATATATTATATAATTTTTATAATTAATTATTTTCAAATTATTATTGATTTTTAATATGTTAAAAGTAATCATTTTGAACCTACTTCTTTTTGTTCTTTAAAGTGAAAGTTTTAATAAAAAAAAAATGAATTTATTACCATAACTTTTAACTCAACTTGCAAGTTTGAAATAAATATTATTAAATAGAAAAAAATGAAATTGGTAGATTATTTCAAAAACAACAATAACACTTATTCCCTTAATTTTACCCCGATTTATAACTATAATATATGAATACATAATAATTACAGTAATTAAATTGAGTATGAAAGTGGTATTCAATAATATAATATTGTAATTTTTACGGAGATATTATAAAAATAAAAAGGAGTTGTATATTCATATACTTTTAATGCGTATACAAATTTAAAGGAATTTATGCAATACTTTTTAATAAAAAAATTTTGTTACTTATGAATAAATACACTAAACAAAAGGAACTTTCATCAGAAAAAAAATATACTTTTCTAAATAAACTTTTCGTGATGTTTTCAAATGTGCAATTAAACTTTTTCTATTACTTCTAAGTTTTAATATTATTACTTATTATTAAAAAATAAGTATTTACATATAAAAAAAAATAATTAAGAACAAAAAAAATTGTATTAAATTAATACTGATTTTGATTTTTAATATGTTAAAGGTAATCATTTTGAACCTATTTTTTATTGTCTTTTAAAGTGAAAGTTTTAATGAAAAATACCTTCTCAGCTTCGCATCGAAGCTAAAAAATGAATTTGTTACCATAACTTATAGTTCAACTTGCAAGTTTGAAATTGACATTATTAAATTGAAAAAAATGAAATTTTTAAGATTAATATGCAATCTGGAAATTTTATAATTACTAATTACAGTACATTTGTCAGAAAAATTCGATTTTTTTACATTTTTATCGTAATAGATAACTGAAATAGAAAGAATAGTAATCATATCCTAATAACTTTTGGTGTTTAAAAAAATTCTGCAATTGAAATATTCAGAACTTAATTAATTTTAATAATTTACTTTAATTAAATGAACCAATCAAACCAAAGTAGTTAAAAAGATTTACTCAATTGAGCATATTATCAAAAATATAATTATAATTGTAAAACTCCATCGTTAACTTCAGGTGAAACTAAAAATCATTTTTTTTTTAAATTTATGATTTATATAGCAAAATATTACTAAAAAATTTGGCATATTATAGACTGGTAGTAGCACACAGAAATAGAGTTAAAAAATTAATAAATTATAAAGTAAAATTATTTACTTTTGTAGTTGAATACTTTTATCATATCAAATTTAATTCGACAATAAATAATTTAAGAATATTAAAAATTAATGATTTTAATTGTTTGTATGGACAAATCTAGTTAAGCTACTTTTTATTTGAATAAGGAATATTTTTTTGATTTTTAAGAGTAATAACTTAAACTAATCATTAACTTAAATATCATAAACTTAAATGAATCATTTGACGTATCGTTGAAAAAAGTAGGTCTAGTGAGGGTTGGCAAAATAAATCGTAGCCAGAAAAAGAACCACATAGTAAAATAATATTAACATGAATATCAATTTCTTCTCACGAGGGGAGACTATAGTGATAAGATCCTTTATATTTATTGAAATTATTGAATCTAAATGAGATAAATATCAAATGATTTGAAAATTCTATTCTAACTCAAAAAAAAAATGCAAAATTTTAGAAGCCACAAACGGATTTGAACCTCGTACCCTAGGCGTTAAAGATCAAGGTGTTACCCATTCGGCAACTATTCGTTGATTTTTGTTGCATGATAAAATTGGCTATTTAAGCTAACTCAAATTTAAAAATTACTTTTTCGACTTTAAAAAAGTAAAAAATGTTAATAAGTATAATATCATATGTCTTATGAACTTTATTCTATGTCAATGAAATTATATAATATTCATGAAAGTCAGTTTATTCCCCTAATAAAATATTTTAAAATAAAATAAAATACAAAACCTAGAATTTTAATAAAAAATAGCATATTTTTAAATACGGTAGCCTTTTGCGCATAGAAGATAGGTCGTCGGGACAAATTTTTTTTTTTCATTTAGTAGTACATAAAATAAGCTTTAATTTGATATATGTTTAAAGGACGCAGTATTTCCGGAACATTTTCAAAAATTAAGTTGAAAAAGTTAGTTTTTGTAAAAAAGTTGCTATTTTAAATCCCCCCTGTGAGCAGAATAAGTGTTAGATTTTCAAAAAAAAATGATATCAAATGAAAGAAAATTACCTAAGGTTTCAATATAAAGAAATATTATTTTGATTAGTTAATATTTGAAAAAGTTATGGCAGTTTTAAGTACAAAAAACATCGTTATAAAAGGTGATTTTTATCGCAAATATTACATTTTTTTTATAATTTCGACAGCCATTTGCACATAGAAGATAAGGTGTCGGGACAAATTTTTTTTTTTCATTTTATAGTACATAAAAAAAGCTTTAATTTGATATATGTTTAAAGGACGCAGTATTTCCGGAACATTTTCAAAAGTTCAGTTGAAAAAGTTCTATTTTTTATACAATGTTTCAAAGTTTGAACCCCCCCTATATAAGGGGAAATTGTCTAATTTTAATAAAAAGTATGTCAAATGGAAGATGTACTTATAATGTATTTAGAAAAAAAAAAATTGTGCTGATACATGCATTTTTCGAAAAGTTATAGCATTTTTAAGTTGAAAATTAAAAATTGAAAATCGAAAATTTTAACACAAAAATAGTGTTTTTTTAACTACGGCAACCGTTTACATGCAGAAGATAAAGTGTCGGGACAAATTTTTTTTTTTCATTTTATAGTACATAAAATAAGCTTTAATTTGATATATGTTTAAAGGACGCAGTATTTCCGGAACATTTTCAAAAATTAAGTTGAAAAAGTTAGTTTTTGTAAAAAAGTTGCAATTTTAAATCCCCCCCCATGAGCAGGTTAAGTGTTAAATTTTCAAAAAAATTATATCAAATGAAAGGAAAATATCTAAGGTTTTAGTTTAAAAAAAAATTATTTTGATTTGTTGATTTTTGAAAAAGTTATGGAAGTTTTAAGAAAAAAAAGTGAAAAAAATGACAAAATTTGTCGATTTTTAAATTTGTAATTTTTTTGGATATTTCCCCCATTTGCGGGGAACGAGGGAAAATTTTTAAATTTTTAAGGGTAATGTCTTCAACTAGATACAATTTGTGATCTTTTGACGTATTGTTAAAAGAAATCGGTTCAGTGAGAGCTGAGAAAAAGTAGTGACAGACACAAAAAAAAAAAAAAAAAATAAACACATCATGATAAAATTAATACCTTCTCAGCTTCGCATCGAAGCTAAAATGTGTTTACCTACTAAAATTGTGAAAACTAAACTACCTCATTGAATGTTTTGTGGATTGATACTGTAAATTTAACTTTTTATTTGTGATCCCACAATCACAATCTGGATCATAAACTTCTGTTGTTTCTGTATGATGAGTTGATGATACTTCTGGTATTGTTATATTACAATCACATGGATCTGTCGGGTCGTAAGGTTTAAATGTAGGGATTATTGGAGGTGTCTCTTTAATATCGAAGGTTGTTTTTATTTGTGTTGTCTTAGAAGGTAAAAAGGTAGATATTTTGTGGGGTGTTGTAGTTATAGGCTTTAGAGTAGTAGCAGATGTGGATATAAGAGTGGTTTTATTTTTTGTTTTATGTGAACTCGTGATACTTTTAGTTGTCTTTTTGATATTAGTGGTTTTTTTTATTGTTGTCTTAGGAGGTAAAGGAGTAGACTTTTTATGGGGTGTTATGGTAATAGGATTTATAGTACTTGTCATAATAGTTGTAGTAACTTTAGTTAAAGGTTCGAGAGTAGTTATGCTTTTGGTTGTAGGCTTTAATGTCGTCATAGTTATAAAAGTTTCAGTTTTAGGTGTTATGGCTGTGATTGTTTGAATTTCAGTAGATGTCTGAAGAGTGGCTTCAGTTGACAACCCTGAATTCGTTGAATTTTTATGTATGTATTCTGGTATTACATTAGTTGAAGTGTTAAATATAAGTTGGGTTGTAATATTAGGTTTTAATGATAAATTGGGTGTTGTAAAACTATTTACTGATATTATTGTCGTTTTTGATCTTATTACAGTTGCCATAGATGTAAATTTAGGTGTAGGCCGTATTTTAGGTGGAGTGGTTTGAATGCTAGTATTATATCCACGAGGAGTTATAGTAGTTAGTTTTTTTGTTGTTATTTTAGGTATAGATGGTTTTTTAGTCGTTGAGCGAATACGTATCGTGTAATGTCCTTGAGATGGTACAATCAATTCGATTTGCCGTTTAGTTGAAAATTTTCTTGTAGTACCAACATTTGATTTTGTTGTTGTTTCAACTAAAGGAGGCGTTCTTGAATCTAGGCGTGTTTTTTGATTATTTTTTACTTGCGGTGCCTTGTAATTTACTATAAATAAGGATGATACACAACGTCCATTTACGCATAATATTCCACTGGAAATAATGTGAAATTCTGAGATACAATGTAATTTTAATTAGTAAACTATAAAAAAAACTTACTCGTTATACGCACTATCAGAATATATTGTATAAGCAGTTGCGCCAGACCAAAGTAATATATAAGTTTTCCATAAATTAATAGCTAATGTCACAAATGGCAATGGATTCTAAATATTTAATATTTGTATATTATTAGAATTAGGAATTATATGAATTATAAATTTTGTTAAGTCATTCTGAAAACACTATTAGCCAGTAAAAACTTTTATTAATTGACTTAAAAATTTGGTAATGTGTTGATACTATGGTTATAGTTTTGAGCGGAAATTAAGGGGGTTAATCCTACTTTAAAACAAAAATTATTTCTACACAACTATATATGACAAAGTTGCACAAACTTAGGACACTCCAAAATTTGATGAAACAAAATATATAATTCCTATGCATCATAGATGAAATTACAATTATTTTGTATTTAATTCAAAAAACCGCAATACTTAATTTTATGTTATATATTTTCTAAGATAAAATATCCTTGTAAAACTATAATGGTTAGGAATTGTACAAATAAAAACCTTAAAACCAAACAAACTTTAAGTAAATCATCGGAACCTAGTATTTTAAATATATAAATAATAAACGTTAAGTAACACTTATAAAATTTACAAATATTCTGAATTGTGTCCTAATTTTAGTACATAATTTCGTAGAAACACATTATTATAATTTCATTAATTAAAATACTAACTGAGAAATTTAACGCCATTAACCAAGTTCCAATCATCAAAACATTAGAACCAAGTGACATTGCTATGAAAGCTATAAAAAAAGAATAGTATTTTTATTAACATTCTAATTCATTAAAAATTTACAAATAAGGGTCACATTAATCAATTTGTAAGTCCTACGTACAGTGTCTATAATGTTTAAAGGGTAATACAGCCTTGGTAGTGTTTATTTAATAAGTATTTATTTGATAAACTATCAATTATGATATTTGAACATGACTAATATTTTTTTTCGAAATGATTAGTAAATTGTTATATAAGTATAATTATGCTCAAAGAGTTGGTATAAACCAGAATTTAAAAATTCAAAGAAAATTTTACTTTAAAATTATTTAAATAGCTTAATTAGTTAATATAAAATCAAAAATGGTATCAATTGTAATTAATTATTATTTTAATGTACATATACATAGTGGTCTGCCATGTTTTGACAATTATAATAACTTATGATCTAGTTAATATTTAGCATTATTATTATTTTTTCTTTTGTAACTATATAATATATAATAATTTTTCCGCTTATTGAAAAAAATATTTTTTTTTAAATTTACGAAAAATATAAAAGATATAGATTTTAAGAAAAAAAATTGGTAATAAATATCTTATTAATGTTTAGCAGTATATTATCTATAGAATTTTAAAATTTGAGAAATTGTCAAGTGTTTTTTTTTTACGATACGAAACATTGAAATATGTATTGAGAAAATGACAGAAGAAAACAATATCTGTTTACGAAATATATTTGTTTTAGGTATGTAACTTTTTCCATGAAAATTATGTACGCGCTAATGAGCACCTGTAATTGAATTTAGATATTCGAGTAGTAATATTATGTATATCATAAGATCTCTTTGGAATTAATGTATTACAAGTCAATGATAATTTAAGTAAGTATACGTGAAATTATGANATATCATAAGATCTCTTTGGAATTAATGTATTACAAGTCAATGAAATTATGAGTTTTTAGATAAATATTAATAACATCTTATAAACTAGAATTAGTTGTGAGAACATTAAAGATATAATGTTATTAGGATTTTAATATAAAAAAAGGTTCGCATTTAATAATTTTTTGTATTATGTTTAATTCCAGTAAATATTTCAGTTAACCCAATTTTAAACAAATAATATTAATTATCAAAAATAATTTTATTATAAATGAATATTTTCTCAATTGAAATAAAGATTTGCTTCTTTATTAAACTTGAACGCTTATATTTATTATTCTAAGATAAAGTAATGTATAATCTATCATTTTTACTTCTATTACTAATTAAAATTTAATTAATATCTAAACTAAATTTTAGTGTTAATTAATATTAAATTTACTTTAATTCATCTCAGTCAATTCTTAAAAATAATTTTTAATAATACTAATGAAAGATTATTTTTTACAAACATTTACAATTAATTTCTATCATTTAAAAGTAAGTACTTATGAACATTACATTTGCTCGAATAAATTATAGAATATAAGGCATAGTTAATAACAAATACCTGTTGGTGCTAGGGTTATGAATATTCAAATTTTACATAGTAAATTTTTCTGAAAATAAATTTAAACTAACATTATAATGAGACGTCTTCTTAAAAAAAAAGTAAATTAATATTTCTGTTAGATTATAAGTTTTACTGTATTATATTTTTCATGTTTAATCACAATTATCTGAAAACATTATCAACACCCAATAAACACTATTATTATTTGAGTGTAGCCAGTTATATGCTTATATGTTATATATGCTGCACTCTATGTGCGATACTGACATCTTCGTCGTCCATCCAATGGGGCTAGGTTGCTCTTCTCCCCAGCTCACCTTCTCTTTGTCATTAGAGATTATGTTACAAAGTAACACTAAGTAGGTCATTTACAACAAATAATGATTGTATCTGCTGGATCTATTATGTTATACTGAAGATCTCGCAACTGAACATCAATTAAATCATACATAGCTGTTTTGTTAAATATAAATGATTATAACACCTCGTGATTTATCACCACAACTATGGTAATTGAAGTTGTATGTTGTTGATATGTAAAATATACCATAGTCTGTGGCTAAATTAAGGAACAGTAATAAAATACAAGTGAGTTCTTAAGCTCTCGCACAATAAAAAAATATTTTATAATTAAGAATAATTTTTGAAAAAAATTTATGAAGTTAAACATAGAAAAAATACGAATGTATCAAAAACCATTGCTATAAATAAAGGCTGACAACAAAAGTAAAATAAATTATTTAAATAAAATCACATAATACAAACAACAGAAAGTTTGGAACACATCTGTTAATGTTAATTTAATGCTAAATTGGAAATTAATAAAAAATACCAAAAGTCGTCTGGACACTAGCTCCTTAGCGTTGGTTAGAAGAAAGAGAAAACACGTACTCTCCACACATAAATAAAATTACGTAATTAATAAAATGCATTACATAAATATAATTATAAAGAAAGAAAATGATAACTGATCTTCGAAGAGACCCCGCGATGATATGGATGCTTTGCCGAAAAGATCTGGCCGTTCGCCATCATCGGCTATATTCCATCATTGAAAACAACTGTGACAAATAAATAAGAACACATGTACATTAGCATAGTCAACGGCAGAATGATAGAACAAGAGCTAATACTGTTGTAATGGAAATTTCAAATCGATATTGCCCAGTCTTTTTGGAAGGGATCAAAAAAAGGTTCACGCATTCTCTTGTGCGAAAAAAAAATAGATAAATAGACTAAAAAAATTATAAATGATCTACTATCGAATTTGTAACGTTACACAATAAAAATAAATATAACATTCCAAAAAGAAATATATATAAATTTCTCTACAATTTTTTTAAGGACCATAAATATTTCAAAAGTACACTTTTCATCTCGTAAAGGTGTGTTAAATCAAAGATTTGATACTATATTAGAACCCCAAAATTTTCCTGACTGGAAAAATATTTTTTGAGTTAAAAATTAGATAGGAATATGGATGTTTAAAAGAAGTTTTTAAAACCAATAGCTTATAAATAGTATAATAGTCCTATAAATATTATTTTGTAAAGCAATAAACAATTAAATATAATTATCTGTTTATCAAACATATTTGACTAATTATTATACAACTAAGTTAAGTTTAATAAAACAACATTTATCGATAATATAGATAAAATATAATATTTGTTATTAAAATAATTGTACAAGTATTGTTAAAACCTACTGCTTTTAAATCATTAACTTCTTAAAAAGAGTGTTTATAATCAAGCAGTAACTAGTAAAATTGTATGTTAAACACCAATAAAAAACCCAGCACAGGGGGGTCGCAGTACAGTGGTAACGTGGCATAGTTGAATCAAGTATAATGATATCTGATAGTGATTTTAATCACTATCAAAATAAAACGCTTCAATGCAAATCTTTAGATAGTGTTTAATTTTAAAAAATTGGTGGATTATTCTAAATGCTACATGATCTGCTAGTTCCTTATTAATATCCTATTTAAGATAAAGTATGTCAAATAAAAAAGGGATTATTAAAAAAAATATTATTTCTCATAAAAAAATTATGTTGATCCATACACTTTTCAATAAGTTATAGCATTATAAAGTTAAAAATGTGAAAAGTAAAATCGAGAATTTTCACACAAAAATAGCATTCGGTAGCCATTTTCACCATGAAAACAAGTCCAGAGGTCAATTTTTTATTTTTCGTAATAAAATACATTACATTAGCTTTAATTTAAGATATACATAAAAGTGTCAGACCTTCCGAAACATTTTCAAAAGTTAAGTTGAAAAAGTAAATTTTTTGTGAAAAAGTTGTCATTTTAAATCCCCCCCTGTGGGCAGATAAAGGGTCAAATTTACAAAAAAAATATACCAAATGATAGGTAAAGACATCAAGCATCTATAAAAAAAAATTATATTGATATGTTCATTTTGGAAAAAGTTACTGCAGTTTTTAGTAAAAAAAATTGAAAAAATTTTGAAAATTAGCAATTTTTAAATTTGTAATTTTTTTGGAGGTTTCCTCCATTTACGGGGAACGAGGGAAATTTTTTCAATTTTTAAGGGTAATGTCTTCGACTAGATACGATTTGTGATCTTTTGACGTATCGTTGAAAGAAATCCGTTCGGTGAGAGCTGAGAAAAAGTGGTAACAGACACAAAAAAAAAAAAAAAACACATCATAGTAAAACCAATACCTTCTCAGCTTCGCATCGAAGCTAAAATAGATATAATTATTTTACATTGATTTTAAATAACATAAGTAAAATTGATCGTTTTGGTAATACTTTTATGCTTCATTTACTTTAATATAACCTGGGAACTAATAAACCATCTTTTTACCTTTGATAATAACATTAGGATTTGTAAGAATGACATCAAAAATTTCTGACTGAATGGTAGAAATATTCGAATCAAGAATACTAATTGTTGTTCCTATAAAATCTTCTTTTTTTAGTCTTTGAACTAAAACATCGTCATCGTCTTCATCAATTTTTGTACCAAACATACATATTTAAAGTTTATTCTTTTTCTAGTACCTCTTAAGAAGTCAACCAATAAAAATGAACCCAGTTTTATATTTGACCATGTAACAATTTGATATTCAATTTCATTTATACTTAGGTATAAATATATAAATAATCATTATGAAAAAAATGAACTTGTAACTAATTTTCACATTGTAAATGATATTTATTAGATATTTACTAATAAGCAGTATAGTCCTTTCAATTCAGATAATGGAATTTAGAAAAGTAAAAAAACAGCAGTAGTAATCAGCAAAAGAATATCACAAGTTTATATGATTAAACACAATTTAGTGATTAAAAAAACCAATAATGTTGGTTATGATAATAATCGACATAATACTAATGTAAAATTAAACCCAAATATTTACCTGTTTCAAACTGTTAAAAAGAATGTGTATTTTATAATGTTACAGCTGTTTTAGCTAAGAACGACAAAAACTATAGCTTTATTAATGAAGAAATTAAACATTTATAAAATATATTTATTATAATAGATTATAACAAAGAGTATGAAAATAATAAGCTAATTTCGATTTTATATGAAAATTAGATTAAACATTAGAATTTTTTACTATTTTATATAAATTAAAAATTTGTTAATTTCAGTAAAATATTAGAAAACTAATGATGGTTGTTATATAAAATACATTGTCAATTGGAATAACTAATTTTGACTTGTAATAAATAAATACTTAAGAGGTTTAATATCTTCTATTTTTAATGTTTAAGTTCAGTATATGTGCTCATTTAAGCATAAATAATTTTCGTGGAAAAAATTACATACCTATAACAAAGCTTATATACCGTAAAGAGATTTTCTTTTCTTTTGGCCTTTTCTCAATACATATTTTATTGTTTGATATCGTAAAAAAACACCCTAAAATTTCAAATTTTCAAAAATTTTAAAATTCTATAGATAATTTACTACCGAACATTAATAAGATATTTTTTATTAATTTTTTTTTCTTGAAATCTATATTTTTTATATTTTTCATAAATTTAAAAAATATTTTCAATAAGCGGAAAAATTATTATATATGATATAGTCCCAACGTATAATATTCACAAAAAAAAATTAATGCTAAACATTAACTAGATTATAAGTTATTACAATTGTTAAAACATGGTAGACTACCTTATATAGGATTATTGGGGTCCTAAATTTAATTTCCCCTTCTTAAATAAATAATTTCTATGTAACAATGCATAAAATTTTACTAATTAGATGGGAGGGCTAAGCTTCCTAGACCACACGCCTAAGTATACATAATCTAGTAAAATTAGAAAATATAATATTTTTTTATATTTAAGACATACTTTAAATATGGTATACTTGTATGCTTGTATGACTTGTGATAATTGAAAACAATGTCAGGTATCTTATAAAACACTTACGTAATACATCATCTGAGTACATTGTCATAGACATCATTTGTGATACCGCGCCTATAGACTAAAAACATTAAAATATATTGATTATTATAAAAGTAAACTTTAGCTAAAATTATATAATTTTAATGAAATGATTAATTCTCCTCTATCTGCAAAGCTAATTGCACTATTTCTACAAATTTTTCTTTAAAAATAGTATCAGTAAAACATGATAATTTTCAAGTTATAGTAATCAATACTGAAGTTATAAAAAATAATTATTGTATTAAAAAAAATTATATTGTTTACATAAATTTAGATTAATGTCAAGGAAAATTTGTTTAAAATAAAAATAGATCTTCCCTAAAAAAAAATAAAGAAACAAAAAGTTAATTCCCCTCCCGAATATTATCAACAGTAATGGAAACTTTATTCCAGTGTGGTTTACTATTACGTAATATAAATTTTAACATGTTGAAATTATGTTCTTTCACTCACCACAATCATTCCAGCACAAACGGACACTCCACTTTGTAATGATGCGCCACCGAAAAATGTTGTCATTACTTGTACCCAAATGGAATAACTTGAATGAATATAAAAAACAAATACAAATATACGATAAATGAGTTGTAAATAAAAAAAAATGAAGTTGCTAAGGAATAACAATACGTTTATTCCAAATAAAAAATAAAAAGTCCAAAATAGGAAATGTTAGTATATAATATTGTTACTAGATAGCGCTGCTAATATCACAAGTATTCTAAAATTTTAATTATCATTTAACAGTGGCAAAGTAAGAAAGCCCGGGCCCCCATTGACATAAATAATCATTTTTAAAATGAAATAATGAACAAAATAAATATGTATTTTGTTTTTATTTTTTACTAGGCACTCCTGCATTATGAAATTCTGGTTACACCACTGCCATACAGAATGTTCAATAAGTTCGAAACATCGATTTTTTAGAGACGCTATTGATTTTTTTAACAATTTTTATTTAGAGGCTAATTGAATAATTAAATGCATTTTTTACGATTAAAATTAAAGTTCAACTCTAATGCAAAAGGGAAGAAATCTACCCTAACTTAAGAAATTTAAATGGCAACTATTATTTTTTTTTTTTAATTTTTGGTTAGATAATTTTATTTAAAACAAAAATACATTTAAAATTTTAAAATTGGACAAGTCATTTCTGAGATTTTGTTGTTTAAAAGTATCAATTTTGAGTTTGGAAGCACATTTTGACACAGTAAAAACTAATCAATGTGTAGTTCTGAAGACACAATAAACATAAATTGCCTGATTATTGTTGCTTGATTTATCTTAATGATCATATTTGAGCATGAAACGATCAATTAATATTGTTAGATTGATAGTGTACCTTATCAATGGAATTCTTAAATATCAATAAAAATATGATTTACGATTGCATTTTTTTCACGTTTACAAGTGAAAGTAGATTGTTGTTGAAAAACATGTGTGTTATCAAATTAAATATTTTAGTCAATTATAAAAATGATTTTAACGCGTCTTTATCATTTTGAGGAATGAAAATTTAAAGGTTCTATGTTAGATATTTTTAAATTAACTTTTAATTTTTTAAATCTTTATAATTTTCTGTAAAAATTAATCAATTTGAGAAATTATTACTTATAATAACTATTGTACTATTGTTACGTTGTGCTAATTTTTTATGGAGAGTTTTTAATTCCTGTGTTTTTTTTTAACCAACTTTTTTTTAACAAACATAATATTATGAGGTTGTTGTGTGAATTAACAATTTTTGTTGGTTAAGTATTTTTAAATGTATATCAAAATCAAAAATGAATGTTACATTTATTGTTATGATTACCGAATATGAAACTATTTATATTTTTCAGCTATATAAAAAGTATAATGTAATCGTAATAATAATAATTATTATTAAATAAGAGTAAACATACTTATTCATTTACATATTATTCATACTTGGTGAAAATAATGACTTTTTTGCTGGCAGGACTTCCCTGAAAATTTAGGATGAACCAAGTCTATGGCTACTTGTTTGAACGAAAATCTAATAATTTTTNTTATAGAAAATTTAGGATGAACCAAGTCTATGGCTACTTGTTTGAACGAAAATCTAATAATTTTTGTAAAATTATGTTATATCACCTTATAATAGCGATAGCACCTTTATTTTAATCATCTATACATTTTCTAATATAATGTTATAATTAGTATTTCTGTAAAATTTTATAGTGTTTTAATAGATTTAGAGAACATGTTTATAAATAAAAATCTGTCAACTTTATTTTATTATATAAAAATTCTAAATTTCTTAATAATATCATTGTGTTATTAATGTATCTCCTGTTTAAACTTAAATTTTTTTTAAGTTATTTATTTAATAACTGATAAATAAACAAATATGCAACTAAAAAAAATCTACAATTGTTTTAAAATTTTAAATCTATTTTGCAACTAATTGAATGGGTTATGATAAATAGATTCTGATAAATATATTCTGTATAAAAGTTTTCAATTGGTTACAAATATGATTTTTATTTGTGGACAATTCACTTGTATCTCTTCTAAATGTGATGAATACGATGATAAGTATGCTTTTTGGCAAAGAATTATTTAATAAAGTTAAAAAAAATTCATGAAGGATATAATTCTAAAAGAGATTCAATTATAAGTTAAAATGTTGCAAAATCGTAACAAAAATTTAATATGTAAATAATTTAATTTTAAGTTCATGTATCCTACATATTTTATTTCTAAAATTCTAAAAATCTTAAATTACATTGTGAATAATGTGTTAATCGAAACTTACATGAACGAATCGTACAACTTGTATGTTTAAAATGATTTTATCCATCTATATTCAGTTTTTGGTTTACATTGTCATAAATATTGTGAACATTTTCTTTGTATAAGCTACTGGTAAGATGGGTATAGGTGATAAAGATAACATAAAATGTTTTCAAAACTAAAAAAAAAGGAAAAATACAACTCTATATATAGTAATTTTCGACCCTTACGTGGCTGCTTGTCGTAAAACAAAAGTTAAAAACAATTTCTAGAAGCTAATGTACGTTGAAGATGGTGTGAGCTTTACAGTACATTTGATTTAGTCGTTCTTGATGACCATTAATGTAGGAGGAGGGTAAAACAATGTAATAAATATAAAGTAATATGCTGTAAAGTACACCATAAAATAAGTGACCTAAATTAATGTGTCGTTTTAATGTAGTGTGATCGATAAACAAAATGCTGCAGTTTTTCTAACTTGATTTTCGTTGACAATAGTTGATACTAATAATTCATAACTTTAATTTCCATCAATAATTTTATGAAAAAAAGTGTTGACAGGTATTTATAGAATATTTACCTAGAATGTTATTGTAGTATTTTTAATAAGTAATGTTAGTGTAAAATTAAAGTACACCACGAATTTTATAACAAAATTGTGCTACATTGCAACTTATACTATTAAAACATCATAGATGTAGTATCATTTAGCGCAGAAATATCCATACAAACTATCTATTGTTATACGAAAAGAAAAGTGACATTCGAAATCTGTAACTTGAATATCAGTTTATATACCGGATAAAGTTTTGAGACCTGTATCCATTATTAAATACTATTACTGATATCCACACAACTGTTATTCAAGGCAATAATCGTGTGGCAACGACCTTATAAAAAGTTCGTATCAAACAATTTGATAAAACAATATTATGTTAAAGTCTCTAAAATTTGTAAAAATATTCATATCTTCACTTATATTCTTAATTTCTAAAAGAAGTTAAATAATTATAGTTTTTGAAAAAAAATCTTATTGTATATAAAATTATAATGTAATAAAAAAATATATTTTATAGCTCTTTTCATTTCAAATAAATTTTGTTTACAAAATAATTTTGATTGAAGTGTTCAGTTTTTTATTAGTTTTATTTGAAATAGAATTGACAAATTATACTTATCAAAATTGTAGTATGTTCTTTAAGTAAATAACGCTTTTAATTAGGATGAGAACCACTAGTTTTTTTTTAAATAAAGGATGAAAAATAGAATTTTACATTCAGTTTTATAAATAATTTATGAAATATAAATTAGATGAAAACGTTTTTTGTACTAGTATAGTATATTACCTAAATTTAGCTAATAACTAGTTATTTTTCAAATGTGTACCGTGAAGTATGCTTTTAAAATATTTAGACAAATAAAAATTATATTACTAGACTTTTATTATAAAAAAACTTTTACTGCTATATATTATTTATAATTAGGTATATGCATACTATGTTCTTATAGGTATATTGTTGAACAGAAAATAATGTTTTTGACTGTACAGTGTACATTGATGTAAAATATGTATATTTTTGTTTGTAATTTTTTTTATAAAATGGAATTCTGTAGATTTTATTCATAGAGTCGTATTTTAAACTAGCTTTGTATTAAATATATATGCATTTGATCTAATACACCAGTGATACAATTTTTACAAACAAATAATGTAAATTATTAATATAATATTCGAATTTTTTTTTTAAATAAAAGTACAATGCAATATTAAAGAATACTTTTTTATCAACAATAGTTTATGCTTCCACTATAAATATAGATAGTAACAGCATAAAAGAGATAAAAATTTGAAATTATCCGAATTATATCGAACAATTATTTTTTATATGCGTCCGTTAAGCATTGCTGTGAAGTTCAATTTAATGTAATTTGAGCAAATTATTTTTATCCAAAACAAGGTCAGTTAAGCGTTATTTTCAAGCAACGTCTTTTTTTTTTTTTTGTCATGTTTGTCAACTTAAGTTTACCCACTTATGAAAAAACAAAATAAGTGAATACACTCATACACACCATCCATACATAAGTGCACAATAAAAGTGAATGTACGCGCTGTGGTGGAAAAAACGTGTAAAGTTTCTTGGTTACAAATAATCTTTTGTCGTTAGTAACCACTTTGTAATTTCTGTTCGTATTCTCACTTCTTCCATCTAATCTAGTAACAATTCTTTTATGTTTTTATAGTTATAAGAAAAAAAAAGATGCTATATAATTCTGAATCAATAAAATATATTGTACAACTAAACCATTACAAAGTAAAACTTTCAAAAAATACATAAAAAATAATTTTTTTTGTAGTTTAATTTTAAATTTGTTAAAGTATAAATATTTTTGCATAAACTTTCGTTAGTATTTTATAAATAAATTTAAAAAAATTGTGTTATAAACGAAAACTTATAAATAACGGTAAAAACAAAACTGTAACTATTTCGTATATTTGTTAGATAAAGTGTTAGAATTAATGAACATTAGTTTGACTAAAAGCACTTTCGTCATTAAACTGTAAATTATAAACTTATTCCGAGTATTTTCTTAAAGGACATTGATTTATATAACTCAACCTTAATATTCTACTAAAAAATATAATAATAGATAGAAAGTACAAAAAGTGAGAAAGCATTTATAATTTTTTATAATTATTTTTTATATTATACTATTATTTAATAATATTCAAATTTAAAAAACACTACATGAGTAAATTATTTTGTGCTGAACATATATATTTAAATTTCTGTGTTTTAAATTTTAAAATTTCGCGATGAATGAAAACTACTATTTGAACATTGAAATTTAAAAATAACTTAATTAAATTGTTCTTAGTATTTGACAAAATTCTTCTTAAATACAAAACCATCATCGACCTTACTTCTAGTCTACCAGTTCTTTATTCTTTAGAATAAAATCCCCTAGAGTTAAGGTACTAAACTTAGTAAATAGATCATTGATATAATATTATAATTTTAGTTGGTATCATTTACATTTGTATTACTCCTATCTGAAAAAACCTTGGCTAGCGGTGAATCCAACTTTATTGGACTTATAGTGCTTTTATCGGTAAATGCCTTAA